AATTGTGGCGCTCGCTGGCATTTTGGTCAGGGTGCATTTGGAATTAGCACAAACTTGGATGGGCTAGCATTTGCCAGACCTTGCACCAGCTCAGGATGGAGCATTCTCCAAGAGGGCTGCAGCGTTCTCAGCATGCCTTGGACACAAAAGAAGTGCCTGTGTTGCGGACACGAGCCCATAGAAAATAGCTGAGCTCCAGCTTCGGACCATCGACCCACAGCACCAAATTATTGGAAATGCTTTGTCTATTTTGTCTGTACAACAAAAACACCCCCCAACACCTCGATTCTAATGAGTGCTAGGCAAGCTGGACAGTTTGGTATTCAATGACAATGGTTCGAGACAATGAAAAGATTTGAAGAGGCGCACGGGTACACCCCTGGAAAGCCAGCGTTGCTTAGTTCCAACCTGACACGAGGAGTGCGAAGTAGCCTCTTTTTGAAGAGGTGCACCCTGGCAGTGCCCTGCTGCACCCTTTTGAAGAAAGAAAATGAAATAGATTTGACCGGATAACAAATCTGAGATCAAAGCTGGACACCTTCAATGCCATCCTCCTTAGCCGCTTTCGGCACTTACAGCGCTGGGCACGAGACAAATTTCAACGGCCATCAAAGAGCTGACCGATCTGCTATTAAATGTGTCTTGGCCGCTGAGTGCTTTGTACACACAAAGGGCTTAGTGGGTTTTGGCAGTCACGACCCTTGAGCCAGTATGCGTGACAAAAATAGCTATATATAGTTCCTCTGAACAAAAGGCTCGTCGATACAAATCCCCAAGGTGGTGATTTATCAAAAATAGATCTGAAGATCACGCTAGTAGTAACAAGTGCCTAACTAGTAGTAACGAGTGCCACGCTAGTAGTAACAAGTGCCTTACTAGTAGTAACAAGTGCTCCAATTGGATTACAATCTGCCGAATGTAGGGCCTGTAGAAACACTCAGCTACTTTTTCCCCTTCGGCCCTTCGAACATGACCTGTTCAAGACCCCCATGTTTGGCTGCACACATCAGCGCCCTGTCGTTCATCTGGTAAAAACCCCCCAGCCGTCTGGGATGAAAGGCAGAGTCATCAGTGCCTTCCTCTGACCTGCCATACAGCTCCAGGTTGAGAAACAGTAGTCATTAAACCAAGAATCGGCAGTCGGTTTGGAGGGTGAAGGCAGTGGCAACTGAATCAAAAGCTACGTGGTTTATATAAACGCAATTTCAACATGCTAGAGGAGTGCTCAAAGGTGCTCCAATTGCTTCCTTTGACTTCAATGACTCTGAATGTGAAGGGTCAACTCAGCTCCACCAGCACCTGGGCGTTCAGCCTTCAAGGGGCCCTACCATGCGTTTCCAAAGAGCTTGAACCCCAAAAAATCGGAGCCTTGCATAACTTTTGTCAATGAAGAGTCGGCTGCAGGGATCCATGGAGTGCAAATCCCTCAAAGTCAACTGCTGGAAGTCCTTCAATGGAGCTTTGTGGATGATCGTTTGACAACGCGTGGAATCAATGAGACCTTGAAATTGCTCTTCACCATTGACGTTTCGACGATGTCTTGTCAAAACTTGGAATATATACACATATACCCTCTTAAAACAAGTCTTACTCAAGCAACTGCAGTTCAGCTTCTCACCAATCGGAAGGCCTGAAGCTGTTGGACATCGGCCTCAGTCCCGCATCACAAGCTGCTGGGCTTGCTTGGTAGACGCTCTAGCTACCTGCAGATCTCACAAAAAGCCCACGTCGAAATCAATGGGCCATGGGAAATTGAAACGAATTAGCCAGTGACTTGGGGAAACTGCCTTGCGTAGTGGATGTCGAAGTTCCTCCATTAGGAGTCAGGAGCAAGGACGCTACTAGGGGCTCCTGGCCTTACTACTAGGAGCAAGGACACTACTAGTGGTTAATGTCACCACCTCGAGATGAGTCGCTACGTCCTGCAAGAGCAACCAGAGAGCATCAACACGGGTGCTACACGCTGCAGCATTTCTTCGAGTGATATATACCACCTTCTGGTTTCTTGGCCCATTTATGTTGCTCTGTCTCCTTCTTCAAAATGAAGCAGACCAAAGGAAGGATATTAAGACTTGTGCGCAGCAGCAGATTTCCGCAACAATGAGGGTTGATCAAGCTTCTTGTCTTGGAAACCCTTCCGACTTCCGCTTGTGAGTACTAGTATACTCTACTCTACATTTGGATGCGTTGGGAAGGCCTTCAAGACTCCAAAGCGCCCTCAGCATGTGTCTACAGCTAAACTAGTTGATTGCTAAGTTCAACAAAGACCAAGTGGCTGATCACCGCTCGTGATGCCCAGAACTACAGCTCCCCCAGCAGGATTGTTCTTTGCCTCAGGGCAGGTGAAGCTAACTCACTCCGCAAGTCCGTGATTGAAATTGAATATACTGTATATCATATCGATATATAGATAGAAGCACCTCGTCGAAGATGAAATGACTCACGTGGTTGAACCAAAACCCACACTTCACAATCCACCGCTTCTCGATAGATGGCTATGCTGGTAGTTACCTGGTAGTTGGTTGCACTAGCTGTCATGCAGGTGATTGAGGGCTTCCAAGCGTTCATCCACACCAACGCAAATGACCATCGAAGTACGGCATAGAATATCACCATGATCGATGCATATCGTTCGGACATTACACTCTGCAGGGCACAAGACACAAATATAAAAGCCTCTCCGCCAGTACCTTTCCATTTGGAGCACACTTGCAAGCTCACAACGCGCGCATGCATGATGAAAGCTTGGCCAGTGCGGTTCGTTCTGGCCTTCTCGTCTTCCTCATCTTCAGTGTCCTCGTAGGGGTCAAAAAACCCGGCAAAGGCCAAAGTGCTGTGAAAGGACCGTGAGATGTCAGGTACACGGGCAGGCTTTCTGAGTTCTTTTCGATGCTGAAACAAATGGCTTGCAGTTTGAATGCTGAAAAAAGGAGGTGAGCAATCAGCATCCCATCTGCTCTGTAATCCAGGAACACACCGCATCGATCATACCACATCCATCTCCCAGTGTTGGCCACAGGTGCTCCTCGTCACCGACCTCCTCAGCCTGTGAAGAGACCTGCCCAAAACCCCTCAATCCCACCTAAAACGTCATATTCCAGGAATTATTTGCTTCTGCTTCTATTTCCATCTACCAATCATGGGTACCGTGTCGCAGGAGCTTGTGAAAGCTCCAGTCCAGCATTGACAGGGTCTAAGGTGTCGACTGACAACCAGCGACCGCAACAACACTAAAACAAGACTGGAGCAACACTAACACCCGGAGGCTGCAAAAGGGCGGTAGCCAATCCACCCAGCTGCACGCCTGAACTCGCACAGTCATCAACCTTCCAGGGCCAAAGCGAAACACGCCCTTGCAGGAGTATCGTAGTTTTCACCACACCATGTACTGGTCCGTGGACACAACAAAGGCATGGCCTGCAAATATTTTGTGGGGAGCGCTAGGCAAATCAGAATGATCGGTCAAGCAGTTCTAGCAAAAAATATCTCAGTCAATGACCAGCGCTGTCCAGGAGTTTTGCATAAAACGATTGTTCCACAATGGCTTCACCCCCATTGCCTCTGGCTTGATCCTAGGAGATTAGCTCCCCTTATACATCGCAAAACAAATTCAAAGGACGCACATGGTCGGGATGCAAGCAAAGTTACATGTGGCACTGCGCGACAGGGAACTCTTGTGGCTTGCGGCGATAATTTGCATTTCGATCGATCTGTGGTGGCTTCTGGAGATTGTTGGGACTTATGCTGCATGGTGACGCGTGGCATCTATGAACTTGATCGGTTCAGTGTCCAAAAAAAACGGAAACCAAATCAATAGTGCGCTATCCTACATCTATACTAGAAGCTTAAGTAGCTAGGACATAACTTCTCCCTCACTTAATAAAGTAGGCGCCAACTTAATTAAGTAAGGAGGCAGGGCCACGGGCTAAAAATGACAAAATTGTGCTCATTAGTGCACTCTCACTGCAAGCTCCTGCCTCACCCACTGGGACCGTGCAAAAGTGACTCCTTCTGCTAGCTAGCCAGTGACGCAGCTGTGCCGTGAAGTGGTTTGCTCCAACATAGGGAGTAGTGAGTAGTGAGTAGTGTTATGCTCCGTACACCTTCAGCATGATCGTCTGCACTGCTGGAGCTGAAGAGGACTTGCCTCTGTGAGTATGGTTCATGCACCCGATAGAAAAGCTTCTTTGGAGATTTGGAAAAAATGATGCAGGTCATGTGGTTCTTGTGTGCATGGTCTCTCACCAGATTGTGCTGATGCCCACATGAAGTCTCGTGTGCCAGTCTAGGGTGTCCTGTGATCCAACGACATCCAAGTGCTTCTGAGCAGGAGAGTTGGACCGTATCCTGCATCCTCAAACACAAACCAGCACACCCAAAAGCCACTGGTGCTAAGCATGCTTGAATGAAACTTGGAGCCAATTCAATCTGATGCTCTAAAGTTCAAACAGCTTTAGTCCTTAGACGATCCTATCCAGATCTCACTCTCTGGAGATGGGTTACCTGGTTCATTGCGACAACTTTCTAGACATTGACATCAGTCACTGTGGATCGAAAGAGCAGTCCCAGGCATTCGGCTTTGTCCATCTTAGCATGAAGGCCATTAAATTGTAGCTCTAAGCCCCAAAAGCCCCGTGAGCTGTTTGTGTTTCTCGAGAGCAGTCTCCGTGTGAAATGAAGTCCTTGCCGTTCTTACAATGTGCAAAGAACGTCCAAGTACACCTGTATCTATTTACCCTATTCTCCCCAAACTGCTAGGTCTCCTCTTGGCAGCTTTGCCTTCTGCCATAGACTAATCTCAAGCATGCTCCTATGCCTGTACGTGGACATTCTAGTTGCGAGCAACAATGCGTCGGCGGAATTCCAGAGTCTAGAGTTTTTGTGTTCATAGAACCATGCCCCCCGTTGTGTGGAATACTAATGCAAAGGAAACAGGTTCTCAAGGATAGCTAGCACTTCTAGGCCATCTTTCCCAGCACTCAAGACCTCCCAGGCGCTTGTTTTGCCACACCAAGATGTGGTGATCGACGCATGTCGTAAATGGAAAATATCCATGTGCATTGCACACGGGGTCGGCGACAACCTACGGCCACATCGATCACCCGGTGGATCTTTTCCACGAAAAACGGGAGCAAAGAGGGACACAAGAAACATCAAAAGCACCTCGAAACATCCAGTTCATCCTTCGAGCAAGACATCCAAGCTGCTTGTCGTTTTTTGTTGAGATGCACAATACAATATGTATATATATAGCAATATTTCTGCAATAGCAAGTATACATACTCCACATTCGTGTACGATACGATGATTCTCAAAGGCTCAAGTGTGTTGTGCTTCAGACGATGTGAACGCTTGAGTTACTATGGCAATGCAAGGTCAGTGCTCTGAGTCAGCTTCTCTCTTTAACTTAAACCTTTTGTGTCAAGGAGCTTGTCCTAACCAAGCCCGCTCAACATTCCCTTGAAGCGTCTTTGTACCCGGACCATTACATGGTCTGAACATTGAACTGTTCTTGAACCTATTCGGACAAAGACCTCATACAAATTGGCACTGGCTCCTCCGACATGTCCAATTTAGCCAAACGGATACTCAAAAACCAGGACAGCTTTCTTCAAACAAGTTCTCGATGCTCCCAGAAGCTTGCAGCAAAACTTACACGCTTGCCCCGTGCAGGCCTTCATGCAGCGGCTCATGGGTGAAAACTTTACCAATCTCAGTGGGCCTGTTCTGCCGAAGTGGCTGTCGAGAAGTGATGTATTGCAAAGGATTTGATTTTACACACACACCAACAATGGTGCGAACGGGAATGTGGGAATGCATGGATTCGCTCAAGAGCCATGGCAAAGGCTGAACAAAATACAACTGTATGCTGATGGAGGCAGGGCACTCGCCTGGAATGCTCCCATGCAAAGATGTCATGTTGTGATCGCCACGACTATCATGTCTGGGGTCAGGAGAACTGGAGAACCTACAGGACTAGTCGGACTAGCTCACTAGCATGACAAAGTTCTTCTCATGGGAAAGCAAGAAAAGTCGATGCGCACATTGACCACATTGAACCCTAGAAGAGTTCAAGGCTGAAAAGGCTAGAAAAGCAAGAACACAAGCAGGCTGAGGGTAAAGAGAATCATATAAGTATAGGTGTCTCTAGTGAGTGGGTGGGTAGGCCTTGAGCAACTTGCAACTTAGTGCTTGATTCACAGACTACCAACAGTGAATCCATGGGCAGAAGTCACTCGTGTTGCATTTAAAGAACTGAATTGTCAGTCTGAGTAGTGCCCGAGTCAGACCCCACTTGCTTGTTGCATTTCAAACCCTGGTTTCGCCTTCAGCAGCGGTTATGAGGCAAAGCCAAACCTGGCTGCTTAGTGCGCTTCAGTCACGTTTAGGAACAGTAGCTTCAAGAGACCTGCCAGCAGGTCTGTATGTGTGTGTGTGCTTGCAAGATGAGACAATGTGCACTGGCACTGGTGCACCGAATGCGGTCCAGCAAAACCAACTCGCATAAAATAAGAACCATTTATTCTGTAGTGTACATGTCCAAAGTTTTGAGACATACTCGTGAACACCCGACCCATCTACTTCAGCTTAAGCTCGAAGGATCATTGCATATCATCAGCTAGTGTGGAGCACTAGAAGAAGAAAAGATCCAAAGGTCAGTTCACTGCCACCAAACTTAAGGAGAAAATGGTCCGTTCACCGTTCACCTTCAACTCACAGCAGCCTTCACATGTTCTGTCTGGAGAGGCCTACTTCACTTCTGGACTCGCAAACTTACACTCCAAGAATCTGACCACTGCCCTGCAGGCACGCCAAGCAGGCCTGGATGTTGTGGTGATTTCCCTCAGGTTCCCGTCTTGTCCCGGCATACACCCAAAAATTGTCCAGCGGCACCAGTGCAACAGAAAAGCGACTATGACTATTTCGCAAAGCACTGAAAAAAGGGAAGCTAATTTTTCTGTGTGGAACCTTCCTCGAAGTGAATGGTGAGCCCACAAAATCTCAAATCTTGGATGAACAATGCAAGCGAAATGCACAAAACTCAAAGGACTGCAAAATATGGCTACTCTAATGACTACTTTATGTGTTGGTGAAGCTTTGGAAGGAATCTGCATCATTCCAAGGCCTCCAATACATGCTTTTCCAAATTTGACCAGGTGTGGCTTTGCATCACGAGTCCAGCCTTCGATTCGCGAGGTCAGTGCCACGATCTTGGGATCGGAGCGGTTTTGCCAAACCACTGCGAAGAAGTCCTCGAAGCCCTTTTTGCCTCGGGTGGCTCTGGGTCATGATGTCACTCACCATGGTATGCACAAGTTTGTCTGACCACGAAGGACAATACCTCTGGTGGCATCAAGCAGAATCAGTACCATTCCAAATGCAACTTGGATCTGGTGCAAAGCTACAATACCTGCTCTCGTGTGCCACTTCCAATGCTACTCAAGATGAATACACCATCTGTATAACATCTCCTCTGTAAGCTTATCCAAACACCTGCAGACTGCCCCTCATTGTGCTCCCCACTCACAGGGAGCTGTCGATTCCGAAGGGGTGCCATGCCTCATGGGACAAAGCTCTACAACACCCCGATCAATCGAGGTTGTGGAAGCCGACGGCTTCTTTTCACAGTGGTGTTGATGATGTGCCAAGTGTTTGCCCTGATCAGCTGCCAAGAAGAGAGCAACCTCCACTGTATGCAGGTGTTAAATGATCAGTATCAACTTCGAAGCTCAGAGAGTTCAATAGAGAGTGGGGCTCCTGATGGCTGAATGGAATTCACAAGGTCGTGCTGCTTCTGGTCAGCCCAAATGCTGAAAGACACCCATTGGTTGATATTGAAGCACGACAGAATTCAGAACTTGCAGCCAACATTCCACTTGTTTGACTATTTTTGGTCCGGCGTTGGTCGATTGAAACTCTAGTTACTAAAATTCTCAATTGCGCTGGGACGCCAATCGAAGAGTTCATCCGAAGAATCATACCTAATTGCCTGCATGAAATGCCCAAATGCCCAACTGCCCTCTCCTTTGCTACAAAGTCAAAATCTTAGCCGGAGGCCGCATTGCGAAAGGACAAAACAAATCTCCAACTTCGTGACAACGAAAGCAAGATCCTCTAATCCGTTCTCAGTCCCTCAGTCTCTTGCAAGCAGAGGCAAAGAGCGGGCCCAAAGAAGCCCGTGCCTGGATGGCAAAACGGACCAGGACTTGGGAGCATTTATGGAGTTCCACTATAGCAATTTTGGCAATCACAAGTCCTTCCCAGCCCCAAAAAGATGGCATGGGTTCCGATACATAATGGAACTACATGCAAATTAGCTTGTATTGCACAGCCACTTTAAGCAACATGCCCCAAAAGCATGACCAAAAACGGCTCAAGAATTATGTTTCCTAAAAAAGGAAAGCTGCAGCTGCACCATGCTTCTAACACCTTAGCACCCCTCCCATTCCAGACATCCAAAGACCACGGCAGGTTGCCTTTACAGGATCCGTGCCATCGCTTTTCATCCTCTGTCCAGGCCAGACTGGGCTGAAAATTCAGTGGTCCAACTAATTCAATGTGGAAATCGATCGGCATATCAATCACTTCAGCAGACCTCTCGTTTCACCCAACTTTAGCATACCCATAGTTTCTTGAAAATGTGTATCTCTTCAATTGGTCTTCAAGCTTGCTCAGCTTGTGGGAAAAATGCAACCCGACCTGTGCAGGCTTGTGCCAAGCCATCTAAGCAATATTCCAAATGCTAGAAATGTACAGTAACCAAATAACAGCATGGCTCCCCAAGTTCAAAATCTTGACCCGCAACGTACTGGTTCGGAGCTGGATCTAGTACAAAGCTTGTGTTTGAATCACTTGCAACTCCCAACTAATCATGAATGCACCACACTTCAGAAAGTTCCTCGCAATGCTCTTTTGAAAGGACTCGTTCTGCAGCTCCTTCTGCACTTCCTGCAAGTCAAAGACATATACTGCTGTCGAAAAGTGCAGAGGAATGTTCCACGCAGCTGCAAATGGGTTGACAACTTGAAAACCTTCAAAACCTATTCCTAACCAGGTTTGGACCCCAAGAAGGTTCTTTATGGCAGCGACGTCAAGTCAAGATCAAATGTGTGGCCCATCCTTCGGTTGAGGGATCAAAAAAAATTAAGCTGACTTTCGGTGACAGGCGCAGCATTTGGTGAACATCGAAGTGCAAAATTCGCGGCAGGTGCAGCACTTTGTGAACCACGAAGTGCTAATTTCGCTGCAAGCACGATGCTCTGTGGAGCTTGAAGTGCAATTTTCGCGGCAGCAGCGGCATTCTGTGAAAAGCGAAGCGCAGCTTTCCTGGCAGACGCAGCGCTTTGTGAACATGGAAATGCAGATTGCATAACAGGCGCAGCTAATTGCGCACCTTGAGGGTGTGGCGTGGTCGAGAAAAAAGTCTCAAAAAGTAAAAGAAGTAGTAGTAGTAGTAGTAGTAGCAGTAGCAGCAGCAGCAGGAGCAGGAGCAGGAGCAGGAGCAGGAGCAGTAGTAGTAGTAGTAGTAGTAGTAGTAGGAGTAGCAGTAGCAGTAGTAGTAGTAGTAGATCGCAGTCGCCGTCGCCGTCGCCGTCGTGCTGTTGGTCGTGGTCGTGGTCGTGGTCGCGGTCGCGGTCGCGGTCGCGGTCGCGGTGGTAGTAGTGGTAGTAGTAGTAGTAGTAGCAGTAGTACTAGTAGTACTAGTAGTAGTACTAGTAGTACTAGTAGTAGTACTAGTAGTACTAGTAGTAGTAGTAGTAGTAGTAGTACTAGTAGTAGTAGTAGTAGTAGTAGTGGTGGTAGTAGTAGTAGTAGTAGTAACAGTAACAGTAGTGGCAGTGGTAGTGGTAGTGGTAGTGGTAGTGGTAGTGGTAGTGGTAGTGGTGGTAGTAGTAGTAGTAGTAGTCGTCGTCGTCCCAGTAGTAGTAGTAGTAACAGTAGCAGTAGCAGTAGCAATAGTAAAAGCACCAGCAGCAGCAGCAGGAGGAGTAGTAGTAGTAGTAGTCGTAGTCGTGGTCGTGGTCGTGGTCGTAGTCGTAGTCGTAGTCGTAGTAGTAGTAGTAGTAGTAGTGGTGGTAGTAGTAGTAGTGGTAGTAGTAGACAGTAGTAGTAGACAGTAGTAGTAGTAGTAGCAGTAGTAGTAGCAGCAGCAGGAGCAGGAGCAGGAGCAGGAGTAGTAGTATTAGTAGTAGTAGTCGTCGTCGTCGTCGTAGTCGTCGTAGTAGTCGTAGTAGACGTAGTAGACGTAGTAGACGTAGTAGACGTAGTAGACG